TGATTTTATATGCAAAACTTCGAGCCTTGAGAGAGAGCAGGACCCGCGCCCCACTCTTTACGGGGCGCGTGCTAGCCACTGCACTACTGCGACCCACCTACTGCTGCTATCACCCTCTCTGCTAACGAGAAAATCAGTAGGTAACTACCCGTCAGTGGTTTAACCTGATGAGCGCATACAGGCCTCAGACCGCCTTCAAGGAGTAGAAAAGCGGTGACCCCGGTGGTATGGTGGCAGCAGGCAACCCCAAAGAGGGTGAAGTGCTGATTCGACTCCTCTTCGAATTTCAAAGTTTTGCATATCGCTCGACATCATTGGGTAAAAAGCTAACATCACATCACTGTTGAAAAACGTCTTTCCTCCCTGCAGGAGTTACACAGTATAACGGAATAACAACATTTTCTATATAGATAAAAAAAAGAAGAAAAAAGAACCTTTAATTCAGCAAGCCTTCTCAGAGCGATAGGCATCAAATCGATATTGTTAGCTCGATATTTATGGGCATTATCCTGCACTTCCAAAGCGGATGCTAGTAGTCCAATGGAGTAAGCTCGTAACACCTCATTTGAACTATCTTTGGCCCATATATAGAGTTGAGGGATAAAGTCACTTGGCTCCTGGAAAAGTATAGAAAGTGCAATTTCCCATATATCCAAATACATAGACATTCACGAATTATGACATTTTTCCTGCCACACTCGGACCGAGGTTGGGGTAGCGCAAAGCTTAGTGATGCACTGTGCCAAAAAACGAGATAGTAAGCGAGGAGCTGTTCGATCCCTCTCCCAGCAACCTCTTATAATCAATCAACTGAACGCTTAGAAACACCACACGCATCTTATCTTCTGGATTGCAGAGGGCATCATCTCAACCAGGTCCTGCACGTTCCTAAGGCAGACGAAATTTTCAAGCAGTATTCGAAAGCGCGTGAGATGTTTAAAGACCTTTCAAGGGGGTCTTTGAACCTATAAGCTGTTGCTTTGGCTGTTGCTGAAATTTCGCTTGTTTCAGGAATGGGCAAGAAATGCAAAACACTTCCTTGGACTTCTTAGAAGCTGCCGCCGCGCTAAGGCGTTCAAAGACTGATTTGACAGACTGCAAGAGAGTGTTGGGAGAGGAGATCAGCACCTTGCTTATAACATTTCCTGGAGCGATTGCATCACTTATCCACTGTCCCACAAAACTCAAGATAACAATTCAGGAAAAATTGCCTAAATGAAGAGAACTCACTGAGAACACTTCAGCAGCATCCAAACCGGGTACACAATCAAGTAGCAAACGGGCGGCGGCAACGCTCAACTCCGGCTGATCACGACCCAGTAGATATGATATCACCAGCTCAAATGGTATGATAACATCGCTAGGAAATAAACACAAAGAAGAGGAAAAAATGGAAGAACAAGAACTTTGTTCATAAAATCATCGTTACGAAAGAGTATCTTCAGAAGATTCCCAAATTCAGCCTGTGGGTGAGTTCGGGCCGGATGCCTGTCATCGAGTGGATCCGGGTCGAGTTTAAGAAAATCGTCGACGGCCTGTTCGATAATTTCCGCAATGCTGAAAATCATTCATGCTTGTAAAACAAACAAATCCAATATGGAGGTCCTACAAATCTTCAGAACAAAATCGATGAGTTAAAATACAATCGAATGTAAAGTAATTGGAACAGAAAAAGTTCGGTGATTTCTATCTGTTTTCTTTACAAAAGTGTTTGGTTGAGTGGACTGCATGTCAAAATTTGACTCTTCCAGGCTTTGGAGAAACGATACCGCTTAAAAGCACTCAATATGCCTGGTAATTATTTTTTCAGCCACGCATGTCAGTGGTCTATCAAAGAGGGCTGACTTACTCAGCCCGATACACTATCGATACACTATCGGGCTCTTTACGTCAGCCCTCTTTAATAGACCACTGACATGCGTGGCTGAAAAAATAATTACCAGGCATATTGAAATTTGAGCCGTGGTCTTAAGAAGATACTCAAAACGAAAGAAATATACTCGAAAGACACATCTGTTAAAAAACTTCGCACCTGCTTGTAAAGGAAACTAGCTACAAATGGAAAAAATAGAGTAAAGAGAAAAATTGGCGTATATAGAACAAATTAATCTTCAGTGACACTGACAAACCTAGTAAGTGTTGGTAAAGGATCGAATTGTTCGACTCGGTGTGAGACATCCCATGTCTTCAATATCGTTGTCAAATTTTCAATCGACGGAGTGTTAAGTGATTGGTGATAGGCAGGTTCAAGTGCCAGAGACGTACGCGGACCATACTGATAATCATCCGGATGAAATTGAGCATCATTCATCTGTAAAGAAAAGAAAAACATCATCAATCAAAACAACTGAAGGATCATTCTCCCAATGCTCCCGCACAAAAATAAGTCCCCGTGGCAATGACAAATCAATCCGCTGCACAAAAGTACTAGAACTGATCAGCTCATCACCACACCATCGTGACTGATCAGTATATTTGGTAGCCATCTCGTTCATCTCACAGCAGCCCTAGCTCACCACTCAGACAATTTGGCTACAAGCCAGTCTTTCGAGCATTCACCACAGAACCCTTTCAATACAACGCCCACTGAGAGATCTTCAATACAACAGTAAAACGACCGCACTTTCCTTAGAAATACTTCAGTCCCATGAGTATAGGGTTTAGTTTCAGCTATTATCTCATATGCCTGGTAATCATTTTTTGAGCCACGCATGTCAGTGGTCTGTCAAAGAGGGCTGACTTATAGAGCCCGATACACGTGTTTCGATCTTACGATCTCGTCAGTCGGGCAGTTACCCTTTCTCGTCCTTCGCTAATCTCTGTGGGTGCTCCAGTCCCCACACTAAGAGTTAGCGGCGACGAACTTTTTACACTCTATGTCCAGTGAAAATACTCCCGAACATAGCGTGTTGTACACTCGATTGCTCTTGGCTAGTATATATAATGTGTCTTGGGAAAACACTCGAAACGAAAGAAATCATATATTATATATACTAGCCAAGAGCAATCGAGTGTACAACACGCTATGTTCGGGGGTATTTTCACTGGACATAGAGTGTAAAACGTTCGTCGCCACTAACTCTTAGTGTGGGGACTGGAGCACCCACAGAGATTAGCGAAGGACGAGAAAGGGTAACTGCCCGACTGACGAGATCGCAAGATCGAAACACGTGTATCGGGCTCTATAAGTCAGCACTCTTTGGTAGACCACCGACATGCATGGCTCAAAAAATTATTACCATGCATATCGAAATTTGAGCTGTGGTCTTGAGAAAACACTCGAAACGAAAGATGTGATATATCATCTCATAATTCTTCTGAATTTTGACAGATCGATATGAGCTGAATTTTAAGGAATTCGGGGGGCTGTTTGTTGTTGAAAATTGATTATATTTCGCCGCTGCTTGTTACTATACTCTCATAATGACGTGAGTGGGCCGTACCTATAAGCCTAAGCCTAAGCCTAAACTTGATTGAAATCGCGCCTCATTCATCGGTAAGATATCGATGAAAATCAGAACAAAACATAACTGACTCATTGAGAGTGGATAAATGAAGATGAAAAGAAACTCATGAACAGTGAAATAAAGGATGAGAGGAATGGAAAGAAAGGAGGAAAGGAGAAAGAAAAGAAGAGAGGAGTAGACAAAGGATCGAGTAAAAAATGAAAGGAAGGGAAGAAAACGGAGGAGGAAAAAGATAGAAAAAGGGAAAGAGGAGAAAACAGAAAAGGAGAAAGAAGGAGAAAGAAAAAAAGAGAAGGAAGAGAAAAGATAAAAGAGAAGGAAAAAGGAAAGAGAGAAGAAAAAGGAAGAGCGAGGAAAAAGGAAAAGAAACAGAGAAAGAGGAGGAAAAACAAGAAAGACGAGAAAGAAAAAAGAGAGAGAAAAGAGAAAGGAAAAGAGAAAAAGTGAAAGAAAGAGAAAAAGAGAGGAGAAATAAAAGAGAAAAGAGAAAGAGGAGAAAACAGAAAAGGAGAAAGAAGAGAAAAGAAAAAAAGAGAAGGAAAAGGAAAAGAGAAAGATAGAAGGAAAAAGAAGAAAGGGAGGAAAAAAAGGAGAGAAAAAAGAAAAAGAAAAAGAAAAAAATAATAGAAACAAACCCTGTGTAGAGCAGTGCACGCATCGAGAAGCCGACGCTATTTATCCATACGAGGGGGATGTCAGGCGATTTCACAAAAAATTAGGGAGTAATTTCGAAAAAACCATTTAGACGTCGAAAAAATTATGACTGTCCGTAATCTCACAACAGATCTTTAAAATCACGTCATAGAACAAATTCTTCACCATACATGAATCATTCCATTTGTTTACCTTGCTTATTTTTGCTAATGTGATCTAACTTCAATAGTGAACTCTGAAGGTGTAAATTTGCGTCAGAGGTAGGTGTTTTTTACAGACTTTAAGTCATTTTCCACGTCATTTTTACTTGTTTGTTTGTTTACGTCATTTTATTTACACTGACGTCATTTTATTTACAATGACGTCATTTTCTCTCATTGTTTCACCGTTATCATCAACGTTACATCGGGAATATGGGCTCTTGCCAAAATCAGAGTATTTAATTGGTCGTTCTCTCTAAATTGTAGCTGGTTTTTGATGTGGTTTGTCTCCAAAACCATATAGTTTATGGAAGCAGTTAGTAGCTTACTTTGCAATAGCTCCAACAGAAAGGATAGGATTCGAAGGTCCACCAAATCAACAAAGGTCGGTTTAAATTCTGGAAAACGAGCAAAACAATTCCAGACGTCTAATAAAATAGACTTTCTGTGATTGCACAACAAGTCGCTGAAATTACGTCACTGGTGTAATTTTCGTAACATATGAATTACCGTCTACATCGTGCGCACTTATTTATTCGTTTATTTCATTCGACTTCAGTCGTTATGGGTTCTTTTCTGTCAAACGACAGGTAGCGGGGGAGGGACTATTTTCGTTGGACAAAATTTTTTTTTATAAAAGTCCTAGTAGTCTAAGAGAATTGAGTGATGAGCAAAAACGTGGCCTCAGCGGGAATCGAACCCGCGTTTCATCCTACTCGGGGACGCATGCTCTTCCGCTACACCACCGAGACACGTTTGTCCGACCAATTGGGTTTATAAGGCGAAATGGCATACCCGACCAAACCTGCCAAAGGTTGGTGGCTGATAGCTAACATTGAGATGTTGAAGAATGAGTGGTCGGGCAAGCGTGCCTCCATGGAGTAGTGATAGAGCACGCGTCTTCGAATAGGATGAAACGCGGGTTCGATTCCCGCTTGAGGCCGCGTTTTTGCTCACCACTCAATTCTCTTAGGTATATAGAAAAACATAACAATGCGAGATGCATTAAAATACTATTAATTCCGAATCTTAGTGTCATAAGAAAGCGCAAATCTCTGCCTACTGCGCTACGCGGGCATTTTTTGAAAACAACCTTTTATAAAGCTGTAGCACTCAAAATGAGATCGTGTTTCACACTCGTCGTGCGCCTTCATTTTTATCACGCGTGTAATTCGCTGGAAGCACGAACAGGATATGAACCTGTAAAGAAATTCTCGTAGTATCCGGGTCAATCGTTTTATCTGGAGTTTCTTTCAAAGCAGAGCGAAAATTCTCTATCCCATAGCAAGTTGTACTCCACTTGTCTAAAGCGTCAGAGTATCGATTGATCGCTCCGTCCCTCCCCCCCGCGCCCGTAGATTAGCCGCTAAACAAGCGCACCGAATATGTGAAACTCGATCTTATTTTCCCTGCTACACTACACTGAAACGGTCTTTCCAGAAAATAAGCACAGCGTTGGAATCAGCGGAATCTACGCTATCGAATGATTACTAACAGTCCCAAGAAAGAGCTCTGTGCACCGAGATGTAGAACACAAATTTTTCCTTTCTCGTACAGCGCTATCAAAAAGGCTTTTTGAAAAGGAAACACATTTTTGAGTTTCTCGAGATTTGTAGTATCGAAAAAGTACTCGCAATCTGAGAAAGGAGTTTTGTCCAGCGAAATATAAGCGAGATAAGAAAAAAAAAAGGCGCGCAGCTGTGTGAAACGTAGTTTTATTTCCGATTTTACAGAGTTGTAAAAGGGTTTTTCGAAAAACCTGCTGCTTACTACTTTAGCCAGTGATTTAAGCTTTCAAATGGTTGCTGAAAACTCCTATGAAAATTTCTTTTCCAGCGAATGACGTTGAATATTCATTTGTCGCCGTCCAACAGAAAAGTAGCAAATCATGTTTTACACCGGTATCTTGCTTGAACTATCCTTCGCTGAAAGCACGAAAAGCATATCGATGTGCAGAGAAAACCTTGTAGTATCAAAATTATACGGTTTTTTCTGTAGTTTCTTCGAAAGTGAAGAAAAAATCTCAGAATAAGTAACAAAAATACTACACCACATGTTTGATGCGTCAACGCGATAGATCGATCGATCACGGGGCGCCGTGTTAAATCCACTTCCAGCGGGCATACAGCTCACATCACCTGTCGTCCCGTTGATCGTCGATTGACTCGAGCGGGTACGAGCAACTCTGCCATTTTTCCCTATCACGTGCAAGAGTGGCCCAGTGGGTCCTCCTCGCTCTAGGGGTTCGCTGAGCATCATATTTTTCTTCTGTCGCTTTCGTGAAGAAATCGGACCAACGGGTTAATGGTCCTCCTTTAGAGCGCTTAACCCCCCGAAGAATCCAGTCGGTAACGGCTCTCGTCCATCGGTTGTCGTTGAAGCGCATCACGTGTCCGGCCCACCTTATTTTCGATATCCTGGCGTGTAGATCGGTGTCTCTGATTTTCGATTGTTGACGTAGGTCGGAACTTCGGGTCCTTTCTCTCATTTACGAGATACGGGATACTCCTAGCATCGACCTTTCGACTGCGCGTTCAATAACGCCAAGTGACCTTTCATCCTGCTTACGTAGCGACCAGGTTTCTGCTGCATACGTTAGGGCAGGGATAATTGTCGAGTCGAAAAGGTGGGCACGGAGTCGGATGTTCTTTGCCGTCTTCATTACATCTTCGATGCTCATAAACGTTCCCCAAGCCGCTCGTTTCCTCCTGCTCAATTCTGAAGCTGCAACTCACATACTAGCCAACAAACAAGTGCGCCGCATAGTCAAACTCGGTTTCATTGTCCCTGCTACACCGCAGTGAAACGGTTTTTTTTTAAAAATACAGCTGTAAAATCGTCGAAAATTACGCTGTCGAATGGTTACTCGTAATTTGAGTAATAAGCTCCGCCCTGCGAGAAATTTGCGTGTGTGAAGCATAAATATTCTCCTTTTGCTAAAACGTTACAAGGAGACTTTCCAAAAATTCGGCTTCGTAGCGCAGTAGTCGGAGATCCAAGCTCTCAAATGAAGACCTAAAGTGCAACGGAAAATCTTCGTCTAGCGAAAAGGGTCGTTTCTTCATCTCGTGCCGTCTAACAGAAAAGAACCTCGTCATAATTTTTTTCCGCTCTGGCTCCGTCATGTTTACATTATAACTTGTTTATTTGTGACTTGTTTATTCATTGTTTCTCCATTTTATCATCTTTACATTATTTTGACTATTCTTCTTTGTATAATGTGAAGTAAAACGTCGTTTGTATCGAATATAAGCTCTTGTTGAAGTAAAAACTTACATCTCTGCATTCTCAATTTTATTACGTCTTTTAGTGCGCGTTTTTCTTTAACCCTTTGGGGACGCTGTTGACAGGAGGCGACGTCGCGTTGGCTGCTTGCGCGGCAATCATAGGCAGGCCGTACCGTCACGTCGGCCTCGTGATGCTGCCTGCCTGCCTTCCCCGGGGCGCGATTTCGCCATTACAGTAGCTTAGTGAGTTGTGAGGTCGCGCGGCGTGCTAAATTCCGTAGCACATGGTCCCCAAAGAGTTAATATCGCGTGGTTTGTAATATGTTCGTACATTAGTTTATTAAATCTTTACTCTAGATTTTCTTTTATATCCAGGATCTGTTATAGAACAATGGCCGTGTTCCATGATGAAGTAGAGATTGAAGACTTCACTTATGACGAGGAAAACGAGCTCTATCATTATCCGTGTCCTTGTGGAGATCGTTTTGAAATTTCGAAGTGAGTTCTGGTTATTTGAATCTTCTGGACTATATGGAAGTATTCGTTTGGTTTTAAGGGAAATGCTGGAGATGGGTGAGGATGTTGCAACGTGTCCCAGTTGTTCGTTGATGATCCGAGTGATCTACGATCCAGATTTATTCGTAAAGCTGGAAACACTCACAATATCGCCGCCGAAGCTAGCCATTACCGATTCAGCGTGATTTTGTTGGCAGAGAAATCTTGTGTTTCTTGGAGTATATCTAATTTTGATCTTTGTTATAGTTGTAAGCCTTTGCAATTGTTCAGTATCAGGCGTGATTGCGAATGGTTTATTCTCAGTCCTGCGCACGCGGGAAGCTAGGCCGGGGTTTATCTTTCTGTTAGGGAATCCACGTGCTATACTGTGGTTCGATTCCTTCCGTAACTTTCTTTTGTCCAGGAAACACGAGGTTGTTAATACACGTTTATTTTGTACCAAATAGTGCAATAAAGTTTTTATCAGTGGCTAATGTTTCGGCAGTCTTGCCTTCTTCAGACCCTAAATTAGTCATATTGAAGTCAATTACTAACCGAGCGCTTTCACAACCGAAGGAGAGAACAGAGAATTTAAACGAGATTTAAATCGTAAAGTAATCACCTTTATTTGACCTACCCTTTTATTGTTTGTTATCCACTTAATGTGTAGACTGGCCGCACTGATCTTACATGGACGAGGTGTATGCCTGGCTCAGATCCATAAAAATCTGTCCAAGGTATGGCGCGAAGTCATGCGTGATTTCAGTGCGGCTGGTCTACATATTCAGTGACAACAGGAGAATAAAACGGTGCATTAAGCTGATTACTTAACGATTTGAAATCCGTTTAAAGTCTTCTTTTCTTTGCTTTGGTTGTGAAAGCGTTTGGCTAAGTAACTGCACTTCAATATGACTCTTTCAGCCTCTGAAGAAAGCAATACTGCCGAAACGTTAGACACTAGTACGAACTCTATTGTACTGTTTTGTACAAAATATGCGTGTAATAACAATCTCGTGTTTGCTTAACAAAACAAAGTCACGGAATTAATCGATGCTGAGATTAATCTATAGTCGATCTTGGGAATATGATTCCTGTCACTTATTCATTTTATCAGTACACTGAGTCATTATAATTATAGGTTTTGATTTGAAAGCTTTAGTTACATTATTGGAAAGTACATAGGAAACACATCATATGAAGAGACCTTGGAAGAGACAATAAAATATAATAGTGACATACTTTGCAGATGTATGCCGTGTAGGCGGTTGAATTTTACCCACTATTCCTTCATTTCTGTGTATCGCTTTCTTATTTTGTTGATCAAAATTGGTACTATTGTCAAAGTGGAGTAAGACCACAGGATGTTGATATGCACATAACTTCAAAGCCTACCGTTGTCGCTCGTATTTATGATAACTGAACTGGTACAAACCAGCACACAGATTTTGCTCACCCGAAGATGGTCTATTGTGCTCCAGTGACGGTGAAGTTGCTCTAACTGTTTACTAGAAGAAGGAAACGTATCTAAGTGACTTTGAACTCTTTGACTTTTCATCAGAAGTCACTCAGTAAATTTTACTACTCTGTAGTCGTCTGAGTACTTGTTAGTTCAACTGGAATGAGTTCTAATCCGGTTACTAGCACTCATCTTTCCATAATATGTGTTAATTTTTTGGAAAATGAAGCTTCGTAACATCTTCATCTCTTTGGCCAAGACAATGTCACACTCTGCACATGTTGACAGGTTAATGAAAGCTTTTATTGGTACACTGGTGTTGAGTGCAGAACATTTTCATGTAGTAATGTAGGATTAAAAAAAATTTTTTCCAAGTTTGGATGAAGGTTAATCTGAAGTTTTTTATCAATATTGAAAGGTCGCTCTCAAATAAAAGGAACTATTTAAGGACTTCATTTGCAGTGTCTACAGCAAAATACGTTCCAGTCGACTGTGTTTGAGACCTCGTTCAAATTCTCTATAGTCTCATGGAATTTTTTATAGCTTTTTTGAGATGTGATATGGCAGTTTGGGTAGTACACGTACTTTTCAGCGTTACCTGCACTGCTCATCAGTTTCACATGCCCTTCGGTTCACCCTGTAACTAGTAGTTGCGGCGCCGAAGATGAATCAATCTAGATGAAGTGGAGTTATTGCTTGATGTTGCCGTTTAGACTGATTTTCAGTCGATGGCTCGCGGCTGTTACGAGGTATATAGCGACTGAAAATCAGTGTATACCACATAATCAGGTGATAATTCACTTTGTCTAGGTTGATACATCTTCGGCGTTGCTACTATTAGATGTAGGTCTGAACCGAAAGGCATGTGACACTGATGAGGCGTGCGAGAACGCCGAAACGTACTTATGTCACTAGCGTACCAAAGGGTTTTTTTTCTTCAGATAGGTCATAAATAATATCACACACTGCGGGACATACATGAAGGTAAACTTGTCAAAACTAGCAAAAAAGAAATTTTGGCAGGACGGAATCGTGCGGTGAATTTTCATTGCAACTACTTCATTCTCCAGAATACGCGTGGATTCTGTTTGGTATATTGTGGTATATGTTGTCTCTTGGAGTTCCATGGCAGTATAGGAACCTGTAAAACTTGCCACTTACAGGTGTTTGTGGTTTTTTGTATTGACCAAGCTCTTACCAAGACGGGACGTCTACGAAATCCATACATAGCTCTCAATTCACGACGAAGGCTGGTCCTTGCAATCAGCATCATCCATGGATTGACATAACAAAGCATGGCATTGATCAACGGTTTCATCTTTTTTACTGGATGTAGCCCTGTCATCTAAAAATGAGAGCTTATCTGAGCAGAAACCAACTTTCTCAAACTTGCTCTTACCTTCATAAAAAGGTAAGTAAACGAATTATGCTCTTACTGCACTTGCGTTGGTTCTTTTATAACAGAATTCCCGCGATTCCAGCTAAAAAATTTATGAAGCGAGTCACCGCGCGGCCACTTTGCATACAAGTATGGACGAAGCCTATGTTGTTGTTCTTGCAGAAAGAATAAGGAAGAGTGGTAGCAAAACATGGCATCGGTGGTGTAGTAGTAGCACGCCTTCCCGGCATGGGTGAGACCCGGGTTCAACTGCCGTCTGATGCGTCGAGTGTTTTGCAAAATACTTATCATTCTCAGATGTTTTTACTCAAAGACACGCACGGATTAAGACGATGGCCCGCTTGCTTCTACTGTCTGTGCTTGGCATACATATTTTGTGTGCATAACAATATATGCATGCACTATGCGTAAGCGATGTGACATGGCAAATACATTTTCCAGGTTTATAAATTAGGGAAAGAGAGAGATTGCGAAGTGTGCTATATTTGGCTGGGAGCAACATTCAACAAAGGAGCTCCTTGTCTAATCCAGAAAACGCCGGCAATTAACAAATGGATATTTCTCTTCGAAAACAAAAGGATTGAGGCTAAATCTCCCAGCGTGGATCACTATTTCTGAGGTATGCACCATGCATTCGACTTCATCAAACATCGTTAGAAGTGATTCACATCTGGCCTATATTACTCGAAGTGACCACCGTTTAACCAAGTTACTGCTGCTATCCTTCTAGACAAGTATGGTAAGCGACGTTGGAACGATAAGCGCTTTGATCAGCCTTGGACGCGCGATCGGACCATCGGCCACATAGTGCAGAACACCCTCTTACCACTGTGTCCACACGTCGCTCTCGCCTTGTGTTCCCTTTGAAAAACCGAGTATTGGAAAGGGATCTTCAGTTTTGAGCAAAAGAGATCAATTCCAGTGCATTTGTGGGCCCATAAGCTGCGAAATTTTATGTCAGTTTTATGATGCTTAGTTTTGGGAGGATTGCTGATAAATTAAACTTACGCATGCATGAAAATATCAATAGCAGGCCTCCCAAGGGAGCTTTGCTATCCTTTCTGGAAGTACATGATAATTTAGGCAACGCCGCAGATGATCCATGACCTTAGAGGGCAAATGGCATCGCAGAGCTTCGAGGACCTTAGACAGAAAATGGTCCAAGTGGCGAGGGCAGCATCCAGCTGCCACCAACCTCAACAGTCAGTTCGATCGCCAGACATCATCCGAACGGTCGTGTCACTTCATCCGAAGCACCTCACATCAAATCGTAATCGATCCATTAATGCTCTCTTCACACAGTCTCGTTATCGTGTATCCATTTGCTCTCGGTCTCATCAAATAAGTATTCTCTCAAAACATCCGAAAAAAGTTTTATCCTTCTTCAAATCCGTTTTGATGGTTTTGACGTCGGGAATAATCTCAGCATAACTTCCTAGGAACCTTGCTCTTATCAATTTCAATGAAATATGCGAGTTAAGAGATCGTTTGGGTTCACCACGATAACGAACACTATTTATGGTAACTCACAATTCCTGAAAGGGTCATTTTTCCAAAGCTGAAGGTAGAAGTCTCCTAATGGAGAACAACTTGAGGAATACACCACATTAGAGAAATAGGAAAGTTCTTGCTTCAAGACATTGCATACGTTTATAAAGTTTACTTTGCGTATCTTTCTGAAGAGAAAGAGAGTAGTGTTGGTGGGAGCTACAAAAGTAATCTAATTGATTGAGAGGGCCCCATCTTGGTAGGGGTTATGCCAAAGCAAAATTTTGCTCTTACTGAAGTGTATCACTTTCATTGTGCTACGCGCGTCTCCCTCACTAAAATTGATTTCCTTTTATTGTAGGAATAAACATACATTGGTGTGTGGAAGCACAACTCTAAGGAGATGATATGAGATGACCAGCGTAAATGCGACAATAAGTCCAGTCAGATGCACGAAAACTCGGGATTCCCTTTTGAACGACCTGCAAAAAATTTGCTACGCAACTGTTTGTATTTCAATGCTGTGTCGATATAGGATATATTCTGTAGGAATTACATTATTACGCTACATAATAGAAACGGGAGATATAGTCAACTATAACAGAAAACCAACTATCACTCAAGCGCTCAAGGGTAATTTTGATACGAAGAACTATCTGATCACAGCCGACTTTTTTATAAAACATTCTTAATTGGCTGCCATTCACTGAAGGAACTATTCAGACTCTCACCAGCATGTCGTCTGACTTCATTTTTCGCGTGATCTTGCTGAGGAAGTCTGCAATTAATTTCTGCAAAATTTCATCGCATTGTCGGAACTACCGCTCATATAGTTAAAGATGGTGATATTGAAGCTGCAAAACTTTGCGTAGGTCACCATGGATTTTTACATAGAGTAAGGAGATCCTTATTCTCCAATATTTTTGTTTTCTGAGCAGAACATTCTTGAAGCTATCAGAAATACAAAAGAATGATTTCTGATACTCTTGGGTTACTTAATGAACTCTCCTTAGCGCATAAATCTATCGCACTGCATGCTTTTCGAATTTCCACCTTATCCATAATTTTTGATAAGTCCCGCTATCTTGTACATATATGTATATAGGGCTCACCGCGAATCATTGTGATGGCCACATAACATTCAATCACCTCATTTAAAGCTAAAATTCAAGACGAATGGCGTTTTCTCAAAAATTGATCAACGTCAAGAGTTTTATTTTTACCCATTACACCCTTAGAAAAAGAGGTTTCAAAGGAGGCACTCTGTCGTTGAAGCTATTTGCTAATTATCAACAATGGACAATGGAGTTTTACGACTGAGATGGAAAGGCATGCGTATTGATGGAACCTTGCTACCACGTTTTCATCCTGCTGACGAGATCGTCACAATGACAGATGCTACTTCATATGTGTCCGCTCAGTGTTCAGTAGAAAAGGTGAGCAATATTAAGATGGGAATTTGCAAAACAAAATGAGCAGAAGTAGCATGAACAGGATGGATTGCATTTGGGCTTCGGTAACGACGCCAGTGATCAACTAAGTGAATCCAAGAATTTGCCCTCGTCTTCTCTACTCAGTAGTCTTTCCAGCGCTCTATTATGCAGCATCGACGTATCCTGACACTTCAACGACGTCTGCTTTATCAGGCACTCAGAGCGTTCAGACAGAATGCGCAGATCTGGCTTTGAAAATCTACTTTAGGTTTAAGATCACGGATAATACACAGAAGGCGAAACAGATGGTTTGGTCATGCAATGAAAGGAACAATTGACAAATGGACGAAAAGAACTGCTGAACAGATTCCAATAGGGTGCAAGCGGATTACGGTGTGAGACTCGTTGATAAACTACCACTGAAACAAACCGCTACCAGAGACGATATTGGGGAGAAGAAAAAAGCCAGAAAATATGCTACGCACTCGTGAAGACGGATCGACAAGTAGCTAGTTATGTAAGCAAATACACAGATTTGTGTATGAAAGCGAAAATACAAATAACAAATAACAGACTAAGTACTAAAAAGTAGTAACTCACATGTTCTTTTTAGTTCGACAGCGGTAAAGTAAGCGAAAAATCTTCGAGTAACACAGACAACAAATGACGAAACTTGGAGAAATGAAAGAAAGCGACATCACATTGGCGCACTGAAGTCAATTACCATAACCAGCTTGGCAGAAAACCTTATTGGTAAGTAATCTCGAAATTTTAATAATTTTCAAGAGGCATGAAGTAACATAATGATCATAATCAGAAGTATATAGAACTGAAAAAGTAGTAGCACATCGAACTCTTCACAGTCTTCTCAATTACTTTTGTAAATTTTCATTAAAAAACCGCTCCTAGAAACAAATGTCTCTCTCAACATTGAACAAATATATTTTGATATAATTGACCTAGTGATAAAGCTAAAGGATAAAGCTCTCGGCGTTGATCAATCCCTGAGGGATGCGCCATGCATTCGACTTCAATTTTTAACTTCGTTTGAGGTGATTGAATGCATATCTGGCCTTTACAATGACTCGCGGAGGCCTCCCGCTGAACCGAGTCAGTGCTGCTTATCCTCCCAGACAAGTCTGAGTCCAGTCTGGTACCAATTTACCGACCCCGGAGGGATGGATGGCTTGGTGAGCCATGAGCGCGAGATCGAACCATTGACCTCGTGTGCGACGCAGAGCACCTCTAACCACTGCGTCACATGCGCTCTGACCTAGTGATATGAAGTAAAAAATCGTTACTTTTCGCATGTCGCTGCCAATTACGTGCATTTTTATTCATCTCACAGCGATATATTAGGTTGTCTCATAATATTCATTGCTCGTTTTTTTTTACTCAGTTTTGTTTGAATCTGAATTATCACTAGGGGTTGTGGTGTGATCGAGAATATTCTAGTAACTTAAGTCAGGGGTTGAAATAATGATATATTAACAGGATCTAGGATACAGGACCACAATACTAGCTGCCAGATCCGTCAGTCAATCAAAGCCCAAATTCCATGGTCGGATGATTTTGCGTATGGTTTTCTAAGATTGCTGGATGTACTGTTATGGGAACTGTTCGAAAACAAGTAGGCAATCAGGGCGGACGTCTAAGGAAACAACTTTGTTGTCGTTACAACGAGATTCGTTTACGTGTACGAAAAGAATCGTTAAAACAACAAAACAATGGTTGTATAACTAGCGTATATACTGTTTGAAACATAAACTAACTCAGAAAGTTGTGTGAAGGCATTTCAAATCATTCGAGGGACGAATGTAGAACAATATTTGCTTCCAGCATTCTAATTAAAATTTTTTCGGTTCCTTTCTGTTGGACGGAAACAAAAAAAAAACAACCCCTTGCGCTAGATAAGAACTTATCATAGGAAAGTTAGCAATTTCGAAATCTTAAATGGTGAGACAGTGCTCGTTTTTTGCAAAGACTTTTTTAGGTGTTGTAGCACTCAAGATAAGATTATGCACGCGCCACGTATTCTTCTTGTTATTTCGCTTAGATTTCGCTGAACAAAACTCTTTCTTTGCAATGGCAGGAATCTTCGATAGCACAAATCTTGGAGCATTCGAAACGTGTTTGCTTTTAGGAAAGCTTATAAACAGCTGCCGTAGCAATAAACAAAATATTTATGTTCCACGCGCGCATATTTATCTCAGGTTAGAGCTCTTTCCTCAGATTTTAGGAAGTTATTCAATAGTGTAAGTTCCAACGATTCCGACTTTGTGCTTATTTTTCCTAAAAATTGTTTCACGGTATGGTTGTAGTGAAATAAAGGCCAAATCTTAT